TTTCTTTTCTTCTGCTTGCAATTTTAACAGGAGTGCCTGTCCAATTCTTTGCAGAAATCTTTTATGTTCCTGTTTTGTGAGAGTTAATTCTTGATAAATCTGTTTAGCTAAGCACAGATAAATGACAGTAAATACTGAGATAAGGAAAGTGACTGACTGAGAGCCAGAGCCACCATCAGCCTCTTCCCCAGGGGAGGCACTGCCATTCCTCCTCAGGATACCTTTTATGTGACAGATGATGACTGCCTGGTTAACTGAGGGTTCTACTGTTATAGTAAAGCAAAATTCTTATATTAGTGTTTATTTACTAAATATAGCAAAGTATAGGAAAGCAAAATTCTTTCTAATATTTTAGATTAAAAATTAAAATAGAATTTGTTTTCACATCTCAGCAGATCAACTTGCTCATCCACTTTCAATAGCACTGTAATCAGTTTTAGCATTTACCATTTTCAGAAGAGCATTTCAAGGAAAGACATTTGTACATCATAGCAAGTCTGAAGAGTTGTATGGTACAAAGGCTGTGTGTTTGCTGAGGAGGGCCAGCTACCTGTGCAGGCAATGCCATTCAGGGGCAGTAGAACTCTAGTGGTATAGACAGAGACTGGGTCTCATGAGTCTGTGTCTTACCCCTGTGGGCTGAGAAACACAATCTTGTCGGTACTGCCAGAGGGGGCAGATTCACACTAAGCCGACTCATAAGGGATGGATGTACACATCAGAAAGTCAGTTTGTTGATGTGCAATGAGAACTGTAACAGATAAACCATGTATTTGTGTTCACAGATCAATGCATTTTCTTCCACTAGGAAAATAAATCCACATGAGGCATGAGTTTATTAGCATGATTGAGGTCAGGAGGTCAAGTGATTAGAGTGGAAGGAACAAAAGCAGGAGCAGTGGGAGAGGAGGTAGAGAGATAGGCAGGGGCCGGGTCATGTGGGCCCTTGACGCCATGTTAATGAATCTGGATTCTAAGAGATCACAAACTATTGGGGGTGGTTTAGGTAGGAATATGATCTGAATTTCAAAGGAATAGTTCTGCATGCTGAGTGGAGAATCAGTTCTAAGGGGATAAAAATGAGAGTTAAGAAATAAGCAAAGACGGGGCCGGGCGCGGCGGCTCACGCCTGTAATCCCAGCACTTTGGGAGACTGAGGTGGGCGGATCACGAGGTCAGGAGATGGAGACAATCCCGGCTAACATGGTGAAACCTCGTCTCTACTAAAAATACAAAAAATTAGCCGGGCGAGGTGGTGGGCGCCTGTAGTCCCAGCTACTGGGGAGGCTGAGGCAGGAGAATGGCGTGAACCCAGGAGGGGGAGCTTGCAGTGAGCTGAGATCCAGCCACTGCACTCCAGCCTGGGCGACAGAGTGAGATTCCGTCTCAAAAAAAAAAAAAAAAAAAGAAAGAAAGAAAGAAAGAAAGAAGCAAAGACAGTGTGCTGCAGAGGTTTTCACAAGAGTGGATGGTGGCTTTGGACTAGGGAGTGAAGCTGGGAAAAGGATGGATTTGAGTTGCTTTTTTTTTAATGGTAGAGCAGTCGAGACTTGCTGAGAGATTAAATAGGTGATTCCATGCTTACCAAACAACTTTCCAGCTGTAATTTTTCTTCTTGGTAGGTTTTCCTTCTAGAGAAGGCAGCACTGGTCAGGGAACATAGGGATCTGATATTTCTGCAGGTTCCAGTTTTCTTCCCTGAGAATGTGTACCTGAGTCTAAGAGGGTTGGGGCCCTACACATTTGAAACACTCAGAGCTGGTCCCAGTCATGTTAGACTTGTGGGCTGAGAAGTGGAGGAAGATGATCTGAGCTACAGAGAAGGAGAAAGCAAACCACAGCTCAAGCAGAGAAGGGAGTGAGAGAAACAGTCCTGGGCACATTTGAGTGCCCACTCCAGCTGTCAAGACCCAGTGGAATTTCTCACTGTGGGTTTCACAGACACTTTCCTAAGTCTTACACTCCAAATCACACTGGGAATGGAATAACGATTCTTACTCAATGTATCTATTAATGGTTTATGCGGAAAGCACTGTATCTAATTCCACAATAATATTTTAGAGTGTATCTTAAAGACATCGGGCTCCCAAAGTAAAGTATTTGGTTATGCCTGCATTAAGGTACACACACACACACACACACACACACACACATATTTGTGATCTTGAATACAGAGAAATCATCATTAATTATATATGGTCCCAGGTTTACGGGCAGTATGAAATAAATATCAACCTCTAATAGCCACAAGTATGTGGGATGAGCAGTTATTGAGAAAGACTTGTATTTGTTGCCTAAAACCGAAAATGAGTTACCTTTGAGTCGCCTCTCTCCTTCACACCCTATCTACCGACAGTCAATGAGGTCTGTGGCTACTTCCTGTGTGCCACCCTCCTCCTCATCCCCACACACTCACCCTCTCCCTCCTATCCTCATCTCACTCCTGGATTACTGCAACAGTTTCTGAGGTGGTTTTTCTGACTGCTTTTCTATGGAGATGGGGTTGCAGGTGAGGACAAGAAGAGGGCGGGAATCACATAAGGACATAACAGAGGTGGCTTTGGGAAATGGCTTCAATTTCAACAGAGCAAGGAGTTAATATTAGGAAATGGGAGACAGTCTGGAAGGAGATTAACATCGTTTCTGGGAGGGTCTTGAGTTTTGCACCGAAAAGTTCCGACTACTTGGTGACCAAAGAAGAGTCATTTTTGGCTTTTGAACAGAGACGTTCCCTTGTGTACCATTGGAAAATCAAACATGTGGCTGTGTTCAGGATGGCTTGGGAGGAAGCAGTGGGAGAGATGGCAGAGTGCTGAATACAAGGTCACTGCAAATAGGCAGTCATGGAAGCCTAAGCCAGGGTGGCACTCATGGAATGGAAATGAAAGGCCAGAAGGGTGTGAAGACACATTGTTTAAATTTGATTTTATCATCTCACTCATATCTGTAAAAACCTGTAGAGGCTGTCTTTTATTCCTTACTTTATCAAATTCAGGCTCTTACACAAGCCTTCATTATCTGAGTCTCTGCTGTCTGACTAGTCGGATTTCTCAGTAGATGGTAAGCCCTTTGGAGGCAAAGACCACACCTTCTATTTATGCAATACTACAGTGCCTACCACAGCACAGATGAATGATACATATTTGCTAATTAGCTGAACCAGAGTCAAAAACCTCCCCTGCTTCATACAGGCACCCATATCCTTTTTCTCTATGGTCTTTTCCCCCAGCTTTCCTCGATTTACTGAGAGAAACTTGTTCTTTAGCTCTGACTTAAGATGTAGACATTTATACGAATGCTTTAGCATATACTGAACAAATTTTGTTAGACATAGTGTTATTTATATTTGTATCTCTTTCAGCTTATGGTTTGCCACATGGCAGGAAACATGCCAGAATATATGAAATCAGAAATGTTCTGGAGGAAAAAAAAAAAGAATGTATTAAAATTCCAGTATGTTTAACAGACAATCTGTATTCTTGTTTTGAGAGTAACTTTGAAAAGTAGACCCAACGTAGTTTATTGTTGAGTGCTTGGCCCATGCTCGTCTTTGATATCTCTGTATCTACATTTCTATTCAGATCTATAACTATACACTTTGGAAAGACAAATACCAAAATGTTAGCCATGATCACCTATAGGAAAAGAAATGGAATTGAGGAAGTGGGAAGAAGAGCAGCAAGTCGAACAAAAGGCTTTTATTTTAAAAATTCTGTCTTCTTTTGTATTTTTGGCACTTTTGAGCATATATTCTTAGGTTTCTTTTTTGTCTTTTTTTTTCTTTTTGTTGTATTTTATTTTAAAATATACTATTAATTAAAATACATATATTATTAAAATTCAGAACAAAAATTTCTATCTTATGGAATTTGGGCCAATATCTAGAAATCGAATGTCAAGAGGATAAAAAGATTGATGGCCAAATAAATTGCCCAGAGAGAAATCAGGCACAGTGAATACATTCCCAAGTAGTCCTGCCTCTCAGCACATCAATCAGAGAATTAGGCCAGATCAAATCAACCTTGCTGCATGGAAAAATACAGTCTCATCCTGAGAGGCCTGCAACTGCAGAATCTCATGGTGCCTCCCTCTTTGCCCTTTGAGATGTCAGTGAATAGAAGAACCAGAATTTTCCCATTCTGGTTTAAGAGAAGGCCACAAGTCTTCTAGGACAATAACTTGCTAGATCCCATGGCCAACCTTAATAGTCACTTTTGAAAAGTCCTGGAAATACAATTCAGCGATCTACATGTCATTTACCATAGCTATACTGGATTGGGATGTACCGATCCCAAGATTCGCTACTGTTAAAACCTGACAAACTGCATCAGAGTTAATATATTCATTCCCTTAGCTTATGTATTCATAGTATTTATAACACTTTAAATGCAGTTGAAATTCAAATGTAAAAGGAAAATTTTGCTTCATGTGTCTATTGCCGACAAGAGCACTAGTAACATTTTAAACGAGAATACAGATTTACTTAAATGAAAATTCCAATGTTTCTCTTGGGTGTAGACTTCATTCTTTCCTTCATAGAAAGAACTGTAAACTCAGTAAATTCTTAATACCTTGTATAATTGTTAGACGACAGCCAAGCATTTTCTTAAAGATCCTCTAAAAAGAATGGCTTTGGAATGACACCTAGAAAACATTTATGGAGTGTGAGAGCTATGCTTGCATTATTTGCTTAATTAATGTGCTTGGATGTTGTGTTTTCAGTCTATTCAACAATAATCAATTATTAAATTTTCTTAGAGACATACACTTAAATGAAGCACTTTAACTGACTCTTTTAAAAAAACTCCAGGCGGTGTGTAGTGGCTCATGCCTATAATCCTGGCACTTTAGGAGGCCGAGGCAGAAGGATTACTTGAGGAGTCTGACACCAGCCTAGGCAACTGGCAAGATCCCTGCCATGCCCTGGCCTCCCACTCACTGCTGGCATCTCTCTCTCCAGTACTGGATAGATTGAAGTTCTTGTTTCTCTACCAGCTCACTCAGGTCTGCCTTCTCCTCCAGGAGTTCCATAAAGCCACTCTGGAGTCAACATAATGGGGTCGTATCTCGGCAGCGACCTGCCCCACCCCTGCGCTTCTTGGCCCATGCCAGGACTCACTCACCTCCAGCTTCTCCATGACTTCCTGCAGGGCCCGGTGGGTCTCCCCACTCACAGACTTGCCCCCAGTCCCTGGGGCTGGGACCGCTGCCTCTGGCTCCTTCTGGGCTGAGGCCACCAGGTGAACCAGGCGCTGGCAGCACACCGTCTGCTCTTTCACCTGCTCTCGTAACTGTGCCTGCTCCTCCTGGGCACTGGCTCCAGTGGACTTGAAAAATGCCACCTGAGGGCAAGATGTAAGCATTCTTGTAGGGGCATATACAGAACAAATGGGGCAGAGAGGTGGAGTACAGCCCCTTCCCTTGGGGCCTCAGGTGTCTGACCACTGGCTCCCGGAAGGGGTGAGGGTCCAGAGAAATCAGAAGACAGGGAAACTAAGAGCATAAAGGGGTCTTGGAGGAGCCACAGAGGAAGGTGGCAAAATGGGCGCAGGGGGAGTCAGGCTCACCATGGCCTCCCAGCTCTCCAGGTCCTCCGGGACACTCAGCATGGGACAAGGTGCCCAGATGCCCTCCTCCACCTCCTGGTGGCGGGTGACCAGAGGGGTCCCCAGACAACCCAATAAAGGAGGTACTGTGGGCCCACCTCTGCCTCCACCCTCACTATGTAACCCTGAGCCAGCCCCTCCCCAGAGAGGAATGAGCTGCTGTTCTTTATTTTTACTTTTAAGAACCAAGATGTTACTATACCACCCACAGTCCCACCACCTCAGAGGGCACTGCTGGGAGCTCTGGGGGCAGGGGTTCAGCTGAGAAAGGAAGCCGACAATAAGGGCCTCTGGATTCTCAAAACAAAACAAAACAAAAACAAAAAGAAAAATAAAAACAAAACCCTCCTCTTGGTGCACAGCTCCTCTCAGGCTCCCCAAATTTGGCCTCACTGCTAATGATTCCTCACACCCAGATGGTAGCCAATCTTCCAAGCCACTTTCAGATAGAGAGCCCTGTGGGTGGCTGACAATGGGCCCTCTTTGCTGATGGGGACACTGAGGCTCATGTAGATGACAAGACTTGCCGTCTCCTGGCACAGACCTCTTTCCCTCTGCCTCGAAGCCCTTCCATCCACCCACCTCCCTGGGGCATTCTAAGCTACCCCCAGGACCCTCTGATGCCAGTCCTGCTCCCAGGTCACACTAGCCCCATCTTACCCATCTGGTTTTTGAGTTTGGACAAGCTCCTCTCCAACTTCTCTAGCTGATGCATATCATGCTTCTTCTCCTTCTACTGCATATCATGCTTCTTCTCCTTCTTCTGCATATCATGCTGCTTCTCCTTCTTCAATGTGCGAACCTGCCCAAAGCACAGGGGCAAAGGGGCCTGGAGAGAGGGGCTGGTGGCTGGACAAGCTACCATCTCCCTCTCTGCCCCCACCTCCACAAAGCCTAGACCCATGACCACCTCTGGCTGTACTATTCCCATTTTACAAATGCCCAGAACGATCCAGTGACCTATCTAAGTGGAGGCGGGGCGGGGGGCGCGCTGAAGGGTCAGATCTCACCTCCTGTGACATTTTCCTCATTCTCTGCTGCCACCGGGCCCTCTCTCCTTTTATATGTTGAACATATTGATCTCTCTCTAGCTGGACTTGTTTAAGCAACTCCTTCAACTGCAAGAATGGGCACAGAAGTTAGGAAGGGCTGTCACTGGTCCTCACCTGCTCCTGGCCACCTGGGGTCATCTTCCTTCCACATACCGCCCTCTGCAAAACCTCACCCGTGTCAGGTGTGCTTTCAGCCGTGCCTTCTCCTGTATGGACTGCTCTAACTGCCACTCAGTAAGTGCTTTACTGCGGCTCGAGAACTGGATGGTGAAGAGTGAGAAGTTTCGATCTGGGGAGCCTGGGCCATTGCACAGAGTGCCCCTTAAAAGGGCTAGGGCTAGGCTCAATATGACAACTCAGTCAGTAAAGATCAAGGCATTTCCAAGCCCATGACCTGGTTTTTAAAAGAACTCAGTTAAGTTTGAAGGGACAGGGAAAGAGATCAAATTTACAGCTGGCTAACAGAGGCCCAGAGAGATCAGATACTATTGCTATTGTTGTTACTGTTGTTATTACCACTGTTTGAACCTTTATGGAGTGCTTCACCAGGTACCATGCTAGCAATCCCATTTAATCCCTGCAACCACCATAGGAGACAGTTACTATGATTACCTCTATTGTGTAGATGAAAAAACATGGAGTATTTGAGGTTAAATGCTTATCTAGATCATTTAGGCCGAGCTGGGATTTGAACACCTAGGTCTATCCAATTCTCTAAGCCCATTTTTCTTGCTGGGGATGGGGGCACAGACAGGAAGGGGAAAATTAATCTTTTGTTCACTTTTTGAAAGGATGATACATTCACATAGCCCAAAACTCAGAAGGTACAGAAGGGAAGTATCTCCCAGTCACCCTGTTGCTCTCTCCTGAATTTTTTATGAACCCTTGCAGACATGTTTTACGTATATTATCATAGTATGTACACACACACACACACACACACACACACACACACACTTTTCCTCTCTCTACAGAAATGGTAACATACTAAAGGTACTCTTCTGTATCTTCACAGTGCAAGTACCCAATACCGCACCTAGGACTTGGCCAAGACCACCATCAGGTAAGGACAGGGCAGGCACTTGACCTACAAGCTCTGCGTCCAGTGCTTTATAAAAAATAAATATATATTTAAAAAATATATGTCTCCTGTCCTGGGGACAGGGGGCCCAAGGGGCAGTAGAGGGTAATTGTTAAAATTGTGGATGGACTGTTGGGTACTGGTTAAGAATTCTGGGTTTAAAAAATATGTATTTAAATATATATATTTAAAACTTTAAAAAATATATATATATCCGTGTATGTCTGTGTATGTGTATCTATGTGTTCTTCCAGAGCTTTCTTCATTACTCAGCTTCTATGCAAGGTCTATGATTTTGGCCTGTATTTTTCATCTTCAAATACAGTGCAAAAATTACCCGTAATACCTTAACTGAGATACAGATCCTATAAAAATGGAAAATCTGTAGCATGCTTGATGATTAATGAAGTAGACTATATTATCCAACATTCCAATAAGATAAAATAATCACACTGATTTCTCTTTTTTGGAAAAACATTTCTCTTATTTTCCTACATTATTGTTAAGATATTTTTTCTTAAACAAGAAACATGTCTAATATCTGTAAAAACACAAAACTTTTGGGCCAGATGCAGTGGCTCACACCTGTAATCCCAGCACTTTGGGAGCCCAAGGTGGGTGGATCACCTGAGGTCAGGAGTTTGAGACCAGCCTGGCCAACATGGTGAAACCCAGTCTCTACTAAAAACACAAAAACTAGCCAGGTGTGGTGGTGGGTGCCTGTAATCCCAGCTATTCAGGAGGCTGAGGCAGGAGAATCACTTGAACCTGGGAGATGGAGGTTGCAGTGAGCCAAGCTCATGCCATTGCGCTCCAGCCTGGGTGACAGAGTGAGACTCCATCTCAAAATAAATAAGATACAAAATAAATTTTAAAAGCTTTCATTTTAATAAGCACTCAAAACTCTTTAACAATTTAAAACAAATAGAAGGCTTATTTTTCTAGGATCACCTGGCTTCTCTAAGCCTTGCAAATGAAACTGAATTTCTCACTTGATACTTGGCTATGACTTGCAATCATGAAAACCAAGAATTGTGTTATGTCACTGTGTACTGCTTGTTACCTGAATTTCACACAAGGCTGGGAGTTTTTGTAACCTCAATGACAAATAAAAGGTTTGTATCCTTAGCCTATAAAGAAATCTTTTAAATTACTCAGAAAAAAACCAAATGATTTTCAACAGAAAATGGGATATGAAGAAACAGGCATTTCTCACAAAATGGCCAATAGGTATATAAAAAAGATTCAAAAGCACTAGATATCAAGGAAATGTCATGAAAACAATGATATTTTCTGTATAAAGCCAGCAAAGATAACAAATGGAAGGGGGAAGCTGGAGCTCTGTCTCTCGTGGTGGGAGTATAAACTGAGCCACTTGAGTAGCTAGGATTACAGGCATGTGCCACCACGCAAGGCTAATTTTTGTATTTTTATTAGAGACGGGGTTTCAACATGTTGGCGAGGCTGGTCTCGAACTCCTGACCTCAGGTGATCCACCCACCTCAGTCTCCCAAAGTGCTGGGATTACAGGCGTGAGCCACTGCTCCCAGCCCCCTTTTTACTTTAGACAGGGCCTTGCTCTGTCACCCAGGCTAGAGTGCAGTGATGCAATCATGGCTTGCTTCAGCCTTAACTTCCCAGTCTCAAATGATTCTTCTGCCTCAACCCCCTGAATAGCTGAGACTACAAGTGAGTACCATCACACCTGGCTAATTTGTGTGTATGTGTGTGATAGAGATGGGATCTCACTATGTTACCCAGGTTAGTCTCATACTCCTGGGCTCAAGTGATCCACCTGCTTTGGCCTCCCAAAGTGCTGTGATTACAGATGTGAGCCACCACGCTTGGCTAAAATTTGTTTAATTGGGATAAAAAACACGTAAAATTTACCATTGTAACCATTCTTAAGTATACAAGTCAGTAGTGTCCAGCACATTCACGTTGCTGTACAATGTGGTGACCACCGTCCCTCTCCAGGACTCTTTCATCTTAACAAATCTGAAACTCCTATCCATTAAACAACAACTCTCCCTGCCTCTCTCCCCATAGCCCTTGGCAATCACCATTCTGTTTCCTGTCTCTATGAATTTGATTACTATAGACATCTCATGTAAGAGAAATCACATAGTATTTGTCTTTTTGTGACTGACTTATTTCACTTAGCGTCATGTCAATGTTCCTCCATGGTATAAATGGTATAGCATGTAGCATGTGTCACAGTTTTCTTCTTCTTCCTCCTCCTCCTCTTCTTCTTCCTCCTCCTCCTCCTCTTCCTCTTCCTCTTCCTCTTTTTTTTGAGACAGAGTCTCACTCTGTCGTCCAGGCTGGAGTGCAGTGCCATGGTCTCTGCTCACTGCAACCTCTGCCTCCCGGGTTCAAGCCATTCTCCTGCCTCAGCCTCCCGAGTAGACTATAGGCACACATCACCACACCCAACTAATTTTTGTATTTTTATTAGAGATGGGGTTTCGCCATGTTGGCCAGACTGGTCTCGAGCTCCTAATCCACCTGCCTTGGCCTCCCAAACTGCTGAGATTACAGACGTGAGCCACTTCACCCAGCCCAGAGTTTTCTTCTTTTTTAAGGCTGAATAACATGCTGCTGTAAGTACATGACACGTTTTGCTTATCCATTCATCCATGGTGGACACTGGGTTGCTTCCACCTCTTGGCTGTTGTGAACAATGCTGCTATCAAATAGAGGTGTTCTTTTCTTTTATTTCCTTGTTCTTGACCCTCCTCTGGATGGAGCTTTTGACAGTACCTCAGGTAGTGTTGCTAGGGTAAAAATAATCAATTTTCAGCTTTTAAATGTAATTATATTATTTTACTTCTGAAATATACCTTGAAAACTAAAAGGAAGGTTTGAGG